TATATATATATATATATATATATATATATATATATATATAATTTGTAAGAAATTCAGTTCCTATATAAATAAACACTAACCCTTGTTTTAAATTTAATTCTCTTTAGGCCGATTTTTTGGAAAATTTAGCTGCATACTTTCAACAATTTATTGTATCATTCTAGCTTTATTCAACCATTTAGGCAATTGGGGACCAATACTAGTTGGCCTAGTCCCCTAAATTATGAGGCAATTGATTTAAAAAAATATGACTAATATTATAATAAAATAGATAAATATAACTTACACCATGATAAAATAGGTAATTAATTTAAGACTAATATATCGATGATTATTCTTCAAAAATTGTTAGAAGATGATAAGGTTCCTAGTTCCTACAGCGTCACTTGTCAACTTGTGACTAAGAAAGTGAAAAGAAATATGAGTTGTATATATTGAAAGATGATCACAATTCACAATGCACACATTCCAAGAAAAAGATAAAGTTTTATGCCATTTTATCAACGCCCTCCTCCTCAGTCCACTCACTCTCATCATCTTATTCTTCATCCTTTACAATTCACCAAAAAAAGGTGATTGATTACAAATCATCTCGTTTTTTCCTTTTCTTTTCTGTTTTTGACTTTCGATCATCGAATAATGCTCTAATCAATTCATAAATCTCTCTCTCTCTTCTATCTTTTCAGGATTGAATCTATTTCACTTCACTCCAATTGATTCTCTACAGCTTCCCTTGACTTGATCTAAAGGTAAATCAAATCAAATCAAATCCCCTTTTCAATTTCCATCATCAGCCTCCTACTACTGTTCATGTTCATGTTCATGTCAAATTTCCTGTTTGAACTTCGATTTCAGTCAAATCACCCTATGATTAAATTGCTTTATAAAGCAATTACATATGTGATTTGAGTAAATACGTTGGTTTCCTGATTCATATCGCATATATGGTAAAATTTTGATTATTTGCAATCGATTTTTGAATAAAATTATATTTTAATCTACATCACACCATATCCTTTTAACTTTTTTTTTCTCTTGATTAAAATATAGCTCAAATCCACACATTTTATCAGAAAAACACCATGTCATCATTTGCCACAGCTGAAGTGTGCGATGCACATGCATCCCACCTAGCAAGTGGTGATCTGCGGGCCCTACAACCCATATTCAAGATCTACGGGCAATGTCGGGCCTTTTCAGGGCCCGTAGTCACACTCAAAGTGTTTGAAGATAACGTGTTGGTTCGAGAGCATCTCGAGTCCAAAGGAGAGGGGAGAGTTCTTGTGATTGATGGTGGTGGTAGCATGAGATGTGCACTTGTGGGTGGCAATTTAGGCCAATTGGCCCAAAACAATGGGTGGGTTGGGATTGTGGTCAATGGGTGCATTCGTGATGTTGATGAGATCAATGGGTGTGATATTGGGGTTCGGGCTTTGGCTTCGCATCCTCAAAAGTCGTATAAAAGAGGTAATGGTGAAAAGGGTGTGCCGGTTCATATTGGTGGGACTTTGATTCACGATGGGGAGTGCTTGTATGCTGATAGCGATGGGATTCTTGTCTCGAAAACTGAACTGTCTTTATAATTTTGTTGGAACTGTAAAACATGTATTAGCTGAATAATCAATAAAGTTACAAAAACATGTTTTGTTTTTTTTTTTGTATTTTGTCATTATACATAATGTCAAACTTATCCCATCGTTAATCACTAAATTGGTGAGTCAAACAAAGTATAATGGTCTATGGCCTAATCACTATATGAAATTTAATGGTTGAATTAATAACAAAACATATCCATATATTCATATAAACATATCAAACCCAGACAATCAATCCATTCCGACGCATCATTCAG